CAAGCAACAAAAGCAACAAGATGACAAGATCAACCTGTTACTTGATCATCTTATGAAGGCTCGATCAGAACCACCTACGGCCAACACCGACGTACTAATGGCAAACCAGCAAAGCCGGGTATCCGTCGTGTCGATGCAAAATCCGGAAATAGAGAGTATAGATACGGCTATGCCCGCCAAGCATACAACGGCTGTGCAGAATCTCCTCTTATGGCCGTCCATCGCGGCTCTGGTCCCGCCCGGCATCGGGCCATCTTATGTGAAAGATATAGAAACCGGGAGAAATCTGTTGCAACATTATGGGGAAGGAGAGCACGAGAGCGATGAATTCGAAAGTGACTTGGAGACAGTACACGGTGACCCATCGGAAGGGCGACGCACGGATGATAACACCTCTTCATCCTCGCTGCACGGGGTTTGGGGCAGCGGACAGCTGTATGTGCCGCCCATGGCGAATCAAAATCCCTCCGCCCGTGGACATCCCGGTGGCTTGAGTCCTCGTGGTGGGTTGATCTTGAATTCCGCAGCAGTCGATCAATACTTCCGGAGTTTTATGGACAATATGCATATCCATCATCCATTCCTCGAGCCAAAGGTCCTTCGGAGAATGATTCAGTTCTTCAAAGGAAAGTACTGCTGGGACTATCGGACGACGCAGCAGGCTCCTGCGCTCGGGCACAAGCGGAAGCGGGAGACGACGGACTCACCGACCTCAATGGATGATTACCACAGCCGACCTCCTCAGCCCACGGGATATAATATCGCCGTGTCCCCCCCAATTGAGCATTCGGTTACAAATGCTATCGTCTTACTTGTTCTCGCGTTGGGCGCGATCACCTCTCATCAGGATCCTTTGCCGGGACCAGCATCAATCGCTAAGTTGTGGACTTCGACGTCACACAGCGCACTCTACTCGGACCTTCTGAAGTCCATGACATATACCCGTCAACCCCATTCGAAAGGCACGGTCTCGAGTCCGGCAAATCCACAGGGCAAGAACATAGACGTGATCCCGGGTTTTGCTTATTTTGCCAAAGCCGCAGATATCCTGGGAGAGCTGCCAGGAGGCGCCGACCTATCACATATTCAAGCCTATCTACTTGCGGGTCTGTATATGGGACAACTAGCACGCAGTCTACCCAGCTACTTCTACATCAACAAGGCTTGCGTTGCCACTCAAATCCTGATCCGGTCGACCCCGTATGTGACCAACACCATGAAGCCCCCTCGTCGGAATTTGGTCAATTTTGCGTTGTGGTCATGTTTGCAATTAGAGAGCGATATTGCAGCGGAGTTGGAATTGCCTCTCAGCGGGATTGGTCACTTGGGGAGCACTCAGAACCGAGAATTTCCGACCAATATCACATTGGAAAGGATCCCTGAGTTCAGTGTGTACGACGACATCCTGAGGTTTTACTCCAACCAGATTCAATTGCGGAAGGAGATGAACAGCGTCCACGCCACGCTCTATCCGGAATCGGAGAATCTGCATACGAGGCCATGCGACAGCGTCATATCCGCTTTGGATGACAACCTTGAAGGGTGGAGGGAGACGTTGCAGGACTGGGATTGGGACGACAATGATCACGAAAGTCCCAACATCAGTGTAGCGCGGATGCGAGGGAAGTACTACGGTGCCAAATACATCATCTGGCGGCCCGTCCTCGAACGGGCTCTCCGGGGCGCCATCCCCGATCCCAATTCCAACACTAATCCCAACCCCACTCCCGCTCCCACCCCCAAGTCCGTCGGGAGTCGACCCTCAGAATCGCCCGCGGGCTACGGGTGCCGTTCCGAGGAGACTTCGCCAGACGGATCGAACCTCAATAACCCCCACTTACATGGGAGAGATGTTCTTTACATCCGACCTGAGTTGCTGGAAGGCTCCAGGAAATGTATCGAGGCCGCCATTCGGAGCACAACTTCTTTCGACAAAGTCCGTCGCCGTCTCGTTGTAACCAACATCTTCGGCACGGCTCACGCGTAAGTACAAAGCGGTTCTCTGATCCGGGAGGGCCTCTTGACTGACATGGAAGTGTAGACAATTCGGCAACATGCTTGTGCTATACGCGACCTTCACCTCCCCCCACCGAGGCTTAAGCTCATTAGTGCAGGAGGATGTCCTACGGCGGTTGCACCATCGCACAGTGCAGATTCTACGGGAGAACGCGGCGATTTCGCCGGTGCTGGCCAAAGATCTCCAGATCCTGGAACACGTGCGCCTGAAGGTATTCCCACCGTCGACGTAGCCTTCTGCCAGTACGATCCCCAGTTTCTCCTCGAATCGGTACTGCGCCAGGACCCCACGTACGCCAACCCGACCAGGTGTTAACTTTATTTTCTGCACCGAAACCTCGAGAGCGCGGATGGACGCCATATCGGACTTTATTACATGTGTTGCGGTATAACATACGTATGTATTTATGTGGGTGGGTCCTCCATTTTCCTGAAATCCTCTGGCGGCATTTGTCGAAGCGTTCGAGCGAAGAATACCATTGCCAGCAGGGAGGCTTTGTGAAGTTTTTTTGATTGCCAGTTGCGCAGGTATCACTCCACGCAGCATGAGAGAAGAACATATTTACTATTATCGACAAAGAGGAAACGACCCGGGTACAGTAAGAGCCCATCCAGGTCACTGATTGCGAGCTCCGGCGTCCACAGATCCTAGCCATATCTTCCTGTGCTAGCGGACCAACCCTGCAGTCATTGTTGAAATATGTCATAAACACCTTTTGTTTTTGTTTGTTTGTTTTCGTTTGTTCGTTTCTCTTTCGGTTTTTTTTTTT